AAACAATAAATAAAACAGCCTATGTTATTCACAGAAAATTACCTTTCTCTTGTTGAGAGAATTTTTGAAATCGGCTCAGTAGCATGAATCGAAGACATACCAAAATGCAAATATACAAATCTTCTTTAAAATGTAAGCAAACCTATGTAATAGTTAAGTTTACAGTGTGGGAAAACTATATTCATTTTAATTGGTGCATTGTTAACACTATTTAATGTTTATTACAGAAAGAATTTAAAATAATTGCACGGTGTGAGGCAATATTTTCTAAGTGGTATACTGCGAATGTTATTGAGTGTACATGCCACTCGAGTACCTGCCACACACCTGACAATGTTGAAGCGTATAACACCACCAATTAAACTATGTGACATTTCGAATGTGTAGCAATTGCCGTGCATTTTTTTAAATTTCGAATCGATTACGTAAATTAAGATTTTAATTGAGTTAACAGGTTTATTGGATTTGCGAGGTAAATTAACTTTACATTGAGTAAAATCAAGAATTGTGTATGAGAGTTAAAATATTAATTATGTTTTTACGGAATAATTTACAAGTAAATGTCCTATTATACAAAGTAGTAAGATTTTTAAATCTCTACCATTATAATCAAGCGTAAACTCACACTTCTTTGTTGCCTAACATGTCAGCAATTACAGCATGTTTTTGAATAATTTTTTTTAATAAAAAGCCCTACACTAATGTCATGCTTTAGGTTTATTTTCACGCCAATAAACTTAGGGGGTAAATATTTTGGATAAATACCCTAATGTGGGAAAGAGACCATAAGTTGCTGCCAACATCAAGGAAGCATGGTTGTCATCATGTCATTTTGACATTTGTAATTAATAATTTGGCAAATGTAAACAATAAAACAAAATTTTCATAACTTCATGCGGATGTAGCCGCACGGGAACAGCTAGTTTATACATCAACCATAATAATTAAATAGGATAATGATACAATGTGCAACTATTATACAAGGTTAATAAGACTATAATAATTGCAGTGTTAATATGAAAATATTTAAGAAAGTTCATTAGGGTAAAATACAAGAACGTAATGACGCAATGAATGAACCGAAAAATAATTGAACGGTGGACTTCTAAAACTTTCGTCTTTATTAAAACCCTCCGGAGCTAGACAAAAGAATTGGTAGCCTGAGAATAATGGTCAAAGTTTGACGATTGCTAATTTATTTTGTCAATCAAGTCGTACGCACGTCTAATTACAGCGACATTCGTTTTCGGTCTTGCACAGATAAAAGAAAAATCTTAATTTAAAACATGTATTTGGAAAAAAGAAAACATTTATCAGTTAAATTAAGATGTTGGTTCTAATTATTTAGAAATTAACGTACGTTTGTTTCATAAAAGTTATTGAAATTGAATATTAATTAATTAATTCAGGCCTTAATTTTAATAAAAATATATCGTAAATGTCTATAAAATCAATTGAAAACAATAAATAAAATTATTTTTAAAAAATGAGTCATAATACACTATTATATTTAGCAGTTTAAAATAAAAATAAATTGTTTATAACCTTCCTTTCGCGCGTGTCTCCGTCAACTTGGAATAAAAAAAAGTAAGTAGCCTATGTGTTCTTCCAGACTATCATCGACATCTGTCCCAAAAATTATCAAGATCCGTTCAGCAGTTTAGGCTACAAACTCTAACAAACATCCATCCATCTAAACTTTCGCATTTATAATATTTGTAAGATCAATACTTAATTTAATTCTTTGAATTTAAAATTTTATTTAAAGCTCAAATGTTAAAAAAAAAATTGAAAATCAAGTAAATAAATCATTATTTGTATAATTTATTAAAAGTCTTACCGTATAGTTGTAAAAAGTTTAGTAACAACGATCGCGAGGCACGTACGAGACGCGCAGCAAACTCCGCGTGCGTTCCATAGCGGCGACAAGAAAACACTGACTGATAAACGCTGATAGCATCTTACAGCTGTCTGGTACGTACATTTATATGTAAACAAAAAGGTTTCTAATTTCTTTAAGCTTTAAAAATTAACCGCTTAAAATTAAAGATAATTTTAAAATGCAAATGATATGAGAAAACCCACTGATTTAATTGTTTAATCTGTGACAATCATTCTTAATATGATTCAGGTAGTGGTTGACCACGATTCTATATGATATCGATAGCCATGTGGTTGAAAAGATTTAGGGCCCGTCCTAACAGATTGTAAATTGTCTCATAACAATCCAACGTGTAAAATTTGAGATGGAAATATTAGATTATGTTACGTTATCTGACAGTGATGTCATTTTAAAGCTATCTGAACCTCTATCAGTCAGTGGTGGGACAGGCCCTTAGTGTAGTTGCAACATCGGGAAAGTTATGCTGAAATTAGTAATGTCAATTTTCAGTAGCAAAAGTATTTATGTAAGAAAGGATTATATAAGGAAAATGGATTAGCTAAATATTGATAAGGCTTTTATTCAATTGTCGTTAAAATTTTGGCACAAAATCGACGATTTTAGACTAAGAAATTTATTGATGCACTTTGAATGGAATTTAATTACTTACTCTTATAGACACGCATGCCTCTGATAATGAATGTTGTTACATTGCTAAGGCCGTGCATTTCACGATAAATTGGACTGAATTGAAACTTGGTATCGTACTGTTTTGTGTCTGCATTGCCGATACTTGACAGGACTTCCCTAAATTCGTAGCATTTGCTTCCATTAATTGATAAGATTAGGCATATGATTGATCCATTCAATGTAATATGGACTAGGGTTTTATTAAATGTTTTGTTGTGAGTCTCTTTATGATTTTTTTTTGTAATTCGCCTTGCCTCCTTAATTAGGGTAACCTGTGTTTAAGGAGCCAACGCCTTAAGACCATCTTACAAAAAATGATTAAAGATAAAAAAAAAAGTTAGCAACAACTAACACTTTTTTAAAACTAAATTCATTGTCTCAAGAGATTAGTTATGATTTGATTTGATTTGATATTAATATAATTCACTTCTTAATTGTCACTTAAAATCTGAGAGACGTCAAATTTGTAAGGAATTCGGAGTTTAAGCGTGGCTTTATCGTTTAAGACGCTGTTACAAATTTAAATGTCGTTTCAGTATTCGGCCGTATGTATCGTACAGGTGAGGTTATTTACGTTCATGCTTTTCCTTTGAGAAATCACAAGATATCTAATACCGCGTGGGCGTTGCGTTGGTAGACCAGGCAGTCTGTGAGAATTTACAAATATTCTTAAACATGTTATAAGCAGATTTCTTTATAGCAAAAAAGATATATCTATAGAATAAATAATCATTTGTAATGTATAACAAATCTAAGTCAACAATACAAAATATGTGAGTTGAAAAGTAGCCAAGGCGATATCATTATCTATTTTTGTGTACGGCCGTTGCTAAATATAAATGGCGAATATAAATCTCTAATTGATTACTTCAATACTATGTAGTTTAAACCCGTGCCCGAGATGCTGGCAGCGTAGATTTTTGAAAATAGTTTTTTTTTTTTTTATAGTAAAAGGGGGCAAACGAGCGGCGTGTACACCAAGGTGGTCAACGACGCTCATGGACATCCACAACACCAGAGGAACTACAGATGCGTTGCCGGCCTTTGAGGAAATGATAGGCTCGCTTCTTAAAGGACCCTAAGTCGTATTGGTTTGGAAATACCGCCGAGGACAGACCGTTCCACAACGCGGCTGTGCGGGGCAGAAAGTTCCAGTTACCAGTCTAAGGGGCATGTTGGGACATGAGCCTGAGCATTCTAACAACATGGCCCACCACTGGCTGATAGAGGCTCAGATAGGTTAAAAATGACGTCACTGTTAAATAAAGTAACAAAATCCGATATTTCCATCACATATTTTACACGTTGAACTGTTATCAGACAGTTAACATTTTGGTGGGACAGACTCTAAGTATTCTTCCAGACTTCTACATCGATGCCAAATTTCGTCGAGATTTGTTCAGCAGTTTAGGCTACAAACTCTAAATTTTTCGTACGTAATATCCATAGATATGAGTTTGTAGCCTAAACTGCTGAATAGATCTGGAAACTTAGTCTTATACCAAGTAAAGCACTATGCTTTATTTGGTATTCTATAAACTAAATTTAATATGTTCACTTAACCATTGTATTATTTTAATTGAAAATATAATATTTATTAATGTTTAATTAACCATTCCAATTAATATCTTGCGGCTTATACGAGGAGATGAACCACGACATTATAAGTCGAGGAAATATGAAACTAAACCATTTCATCCGTCGTCGCTTAAAAGTTACTATATCGGTTCGTTCTAAAGCCTATAAAATGAAAATCACGTATTCCTTTTCGCTCTTTTTTTACTAAAACATAGCGACGGTCATACAGATATGACAGAAGAGATATCAAACTAGACTAGATATATTCTTTGCTACGCAAGTGAAGCCGGAGCGGGTCGCTAGTTCTATAATAAATGAAGAATCTCGTCGATGCGAGTAACGAAGTACAAGTTAATCACGTATCGACAGATCGGCTTCCCGCACAGTCCGCAATCTAACAGCCTTCGATCCCATTTGGTGGGTCATATGATCAATGAAACGTTAGAAATTACTCTCTGCTAATGTCCCTAATTATTGTTCTTGATAAGTGCTAAAATATTGTTGACATTGATTATTAAAATAAACAATTTCATGATGTAATGTTCGTAAGGTACGGGTTTCTTACCACGATTGAATTGTTTTAGCTCGTATTCGTATTATAAATACGAAAGTTTAGTTGAATGGATGGATGTTTGTTAGTGTTTGTAGCCTAAACTGCTGGACGGATTTCGATGAAATTTGGTAGATATCTAGTTGTCAGTCCTGAAGAATACATAAGCTACTCACTTTTTTGTTTAATTCTACGCGGACGGAGTCTCGGGCGAAAGTTAGTAAATATTTTTATGTTCTTCACTTCGTATAATTACTAAATCATACATGTTCGTCCGCAACGGGCATTGTTGTCGGTAGTCGGAAATTCGAGTGACACAGAGCAACGCTATTCTGCAATGAAGCTATAAAATTCAACATAACTACTAAAACAATTAAATTTCTTTTTAAATTGACAGCTAATTGTCAAGTATTTTAACAGTGAAATATTCCTTAAAATTCTCCAAGTATGTTTATTTATTTTGAATTCCCGGTAATGACTTCAAATTGGCAACTGCCTCACGTTAATGATTCGGTGAGGAGAAGGGAAAGTTTCACACGAGGGAAACACAGTTACGCAGAGCAGTAGACAGAGCAGTACTTTTATGAATTACAGACAGAACAATGTTGACTATGTTACTGCTCTGTCTACTGCTCTACACTAATGTGTTTCCTTCGTGTGTAACTGGCATAATACTTTAACCAGCGGAAGTGTGTTGACATCAAACAAATGATGACGAGTCGCACTGCAGCGACAGATATTAATGATGCAGACTATCAATAGAGTCGCCGGAACAAGACTCAATTTGCGAACTCTATAGTTCATTCAAGTCAACCCGTATAATTATTTAACCAAGTTTGGATGGCCGGTTTGAATCTCAAATTTCACCAGTAACGTGTTCAGCGTACTAATTGTCCTAAAGACTAGAAACCTGTGTAACTTCAAACCTGCATAAATATTAGGTATATTACAGATAAGCGACTTTGATCGCGCATAATTAAAAAAATATGCTATAAACGGATCTAAATGAAATTTGGCATTGACGTAGGACTTAAGCTGGAAGTACATTTACGCTTATTACTAAATGTATTATAATTTAATTAAAACTAAAATGACTTTAATAAAAGACTTTAGGTGTACTTTTAACTTTAACAATCTCTATCAATAACTAAATAATAACCATTCTCAAAAGTGTAGTTAAATATACATGAAAATGTTCATAACAAAAACAACGTATAATCGTCTAATTACGTTTTAGTAGCAAATGACTCGAGCTATATCGGATCTGTTCACGTCACTGCGCAATTTTTACGCTAAGTAAGCAGTTATAACAAGGTTCTGTTTATTTTCAATATATCTAATAATTTTTCCATGATGGTATACAAACTGTGTCCAATAATAGTTCCGTAGCGAAATCTAGTTATATAGCGTAGTGTAACTGATGTCGGCGAAGAAATTCAAAGATTCGTGTAAAGTCTACCAACCCGTTATTCATTCATTCCTTTCCATTTTTCGTCATTCACTCAGTTCACCATTCAAGCACTTCCTTAGAATAGGTGCAGTGGGGACGTTTAGTCAGGTAATGACAGTGTAGTATAGAGAGTGTATTTTTTTACACTTTTTTGAGCTCAAATATCGGTTGAGAACATTTTCATATTCAAACGAAGATTTACCATAATCTGATCAATGCTAAAATATCTTTTTTTAAATTATGTATGTCTTAACGTAAAAATTAAGGTCGATCGTTCAATATTGAAATTTACAACAGTGTAAATGCATTCAGCTGATATTATAAATAATTTTAAACATATTGTGTTGTTCAGACAATTTATGTTTGAATAATTTTAAATTGAATATCCAATTAGTGTTTCAGAAGTTTGCAAGACCAAGACAAGTTTGTGCAATTCACTAGAAATTGCAAACAACTGACATGAACGCTTATAGTTAATTGTTGTTTTAACTGAGGCACATTAGTCACAGATGAATTGGTATTTTAATTAAACAATTTATATTTATATCTATACGTATAATATAATTGGAGTATCTGTATGTATGAAAAGAAAAATTCCAAACGGGGATCTGGAAGATGATGTATTTGCGTTGCTGATATCGAAAATCCCATTTAAAATATTTTTGTCTGCCTATCTGTCTGTCTGTCTGTCCGTCTGTTCGTCAGTCCGATAGCCGCGTTTGTTCCCGGTAATCTCCGAAACGGCTGGGCCGATTTCGACCGGAGTTTCACTTAAGGGTA